TCCCGTAGTGTCTCAAGAACAAGCATCAAGTGCTCCTCATGCTCTTCTTCACTCTTTGAGTAAATTAAGATATCATCTATGAATACAATCACAAACCGGTCCAAGTATTTATGAAATACTCGGTTGATAGGCACTAGTTGTTAGTGCCTAAGTGTACATTTTTATTATCATTCGTAATATTTATTTACTAGTATTATGTAAGTTTGTAGTTGGTAGTTTGCATTTGATTGTGATCGTATTTTTAGCATTTTATTGTTTGTTGTAAGTTGTAGTTAGTTGAGCTTTAAGTTTAGGATAGGTTTGGATGCAAGAAGGATGAAAAAACCTGAGTTTTATGCAAAACCCGGTCGGGTATGGAACTTACCCGGCCGGGTATGAAGTGACTAAGGAAACTGCTGCAAAACTAGAAAATACCCGGTCGGGTATTCCATATACCCGGTCGGGTATGAAGTGATTTTACGTGCAGAAGACACAAAAACATGGGAAAATATTTGATTTGGTAAATACCCGGTCAGGTATGTCAAAATACCCGGCCGGGTATCCAGCTATAGGTCTTGAAAACTCCTATAAATAACCCCATTTTCCTTCACTTTGAGGCATCCCTTCTTCCATACTCCTAAGCTCAGTTTAGAATAGCATTTCTTATATTTTTATAGCATGTTTAGTCTCCAAATGAGGAGCTTAACCCTTCCATCTTGGTTTTGCTACTTTGAAGCTTAATGAATTTGTAAGTTGTGAGTTATTTTCTTTAATCTTCTTCCTTGAATATGTGTTACCGCTACCGGAACCTAGTTAGGTCTCCGATTCGGATTCCACCCTAACCCGTGATCACGATGCAAGTCCATGCTATCCAACCCCGCTCTCTAGAGTCGGGAAGGGTCATGGTCCTTACTTATTTCCATAATTCAACCGGCTATCCTCAAGGGTATACTAGGATCAATTTATAGGCCAATCCTATATCTAGGATCAATTTATTACTTACTTTATCTTGGGTATCCCTTAAGGGTTACCCCTAGTATAACTAAAAGTTCATACCCTTCTACCTTAAAGCATCTCTTAAGACTACTTAAGGCATAACATTTCACAATCCAAGCTTAGGATCAATCTTAACAACATTTCATTTTAATGTCCAACTAGTATCTTAATACTAGTCAAATTAATCCCAACAAACCAAGTTCTCAACTCATAGTCATATAGACAATTCCAACCGATTTTCCTTGAAAATATCATTTATCTCAATATTCAAAATATCACTTTTAATCACTCATATATTCTAATATGAAGTAAAAAGTATATTTCAAAATATGTTTCATAATTAATTCTTCTTTCAAGTCAACATACTCATAATACATGATCATACACAATTTACTCTTAACTTTTTATATCAAGCTCCTATTCTCTATAGACATTTGTCTTCTCATTTTTAGGCATTATTAATCATTAATAATCCATAAAAACACATTTAATTACCTTAGGTAATGTCATGAAATTAACTCACTAATTATAAGCAATATAGTCAGCCATCCTCACCTCGTGATGCGCTACAATAGTTGCCTTTGCTAAGCCCCTCGATCAATCCCCGTTCTAGGCCGATTGAAAGTGGAAAACTAGACTGCTGGGCAAAAGCCGGGCGGATTGCACGAAAGCCGGGTGGCTTTTGTAGTCTGCAACTACGAACAACTCCTATTAAGTGGCGGTTTCCGACGATTTCGACTCCTATCGATTCACCAACTCTTCTAAGTTAATTAACACCACTTTATATCAATATTCTACACTTTTTAAATGTGTAGAACATCATATTTATTCCCACTTATGATTTCTAAAAAAAATCATACAAGAATAAACTAGTTAAAAGAACTATTTGTGTTCTTACCTCAATGCCTAGCTTTTTCTCTTGGGATTTCCTTTCTTCTTGCTTGTCTCAAGCTCCAACCTTTGTGAGAGACTTCCTGGAGCTTATCCTCTACTTGTGAGGTCCGAATGAATGCAAAGGAATAGGGGATGGCATCAGATTTTCAATGAAGACCAATGCACATGCATTGAGAGGACATGAGGTGTATTTCTTATCCTTAGGAGGCTTCCTCCTCTTTAGGCCCGCACACACACATCCCCTCTTGCCCCTTCCAGCTCTTACTCAGTCAAATAGAGCACATAAAAACGTGGGGTGGCCCCCACTCATGTGGGAGGTCATCCCATTGTGTCCCGATGTGTATAATCGGCCCCGAAAGTTGTATTTCTCGGACTGTTTTAATCATATTTTATTTTATCGGGCCAAATAAAATATATCACGTGTTCCTAATAATTATGGGCCTTTAGAATAGATGTACATTCCCCAACATTAATTTAGGAGTCTCCGAAACTCATTTCGAGCTGTTATCCGCTAAATTACCAATACCGGTAATTGGGTCTCGTTTGACCCACCGGTCAATTCCATGCCCTTCCCATTGCCCAATTAAAATATCCACCTCCATATAGATGTCATCTAGACCCAGATGAATATAATATGTGGTTCGGGAATTATCGGACAGTCCCCGTTCCCGCTGTGGGCCCCACATGCAATTTATTATTCACGTAAAAGAAATAATAAAATTTAACAATTACGTAAATTCATAAATCATCCTTCAAGGTTTATTACATAATTTACTAAAAGTAAACATGCTTGGGGACGGTGTCACAAATAAGGGCTTCCACAATTTTACACCTTAATGAACTTCTAAAACAGTCCAAAACCTTACCACTTGTATTGAAAGTGGACTCAGAAGCAACTGTGGAGATGGGAACACCAAGTACATCCCTAGCCATCTTGGAAAGTATAGGAAACCTTTCACTATTTAACTTCCACCATCTTAGAATATCAAAGTCCCCATCTTCCTCAATTATGGACTCAACTAAATATATATCAAGTTCAGATTTTTTAACTCCTAGCTGACCACTCTCAAGCTTCTTCTTTTTAAGATCAACCTTAAACCTGGACACAGGCCTATTTTCAAAATTACCACAATCCATAGATGCTCCAGAAGTAAAAGTTGTATTAGAACTTCCACCAACACAGTCAGGGTAACTTGAAACATAATCAACAAATAACTCAGTTAGACCTGACTTCACTTTTAGAAAAAAAGCAGCACCTTTTTATCACCATATAAAGCATTTAGCTGAGATGACATATACTCAAACTTGTCCCTAGGATCTAAGACATTATCATAGAAGATTAGATAGTTCATCTTTTTAGGATCACCCCGGTACTTGTCTAGTTTGGATTTCATAGTACTCCCCATGGCACTGATAGAAGCAGTTGGAGAGGCAACCATATCTTTGAGGACAAGGAACAAGTCAGAAATTTCAGAAAAAAAGGTATTGGAAGTAACATATAGAGAGCCTGAAATTCTTAGTGTCACTTCATAAAAATGTTTTAGAATGGTCACAAAAGATTCAACAACAATCCAATCTAAAACATCAGGCATGTCAGAACCCAAATCAGTACTATATGCAGATTCATTCTCCTCATAGGCTTCAAACACTTTCTCATTACAAACTGCAAATTTTAGCATCAGGTAAGTGGAATTCCACCTAGTTGGAACATCCAGGTGCAGACCACTCTTGGCTTCCACTCCTATCAAATCAGATATATCTTTGAACTTTTGAAGTCTATCAGGTGAGTTCCTAACATACTTAACAACTTCCCTAACTCTCATGACTGAAGTGTCTGAATCTTTAAGACCATCTTGTACTGTTAAGTTCAAGATGTGTGCAATGCAACACATATGAACATACTTTACTTTTATAGAAGAAGCACCCCAGGCTACTAATTTTTTCTTGAAAAAACCAACAACTGTATCATTACTACTAGCATCATCAACAGTCACAGTAAAAATACTTTTCAGACCCCAATCAAGTAATCAATTCTCTAGGGCTTTAGCAAGGTACTCCCCTTTGTGAGAGGTGACAGGGACAAAGGAATTTTTTTTCCTGGAGCTTCCACTGATGATCTATGAAATGAGCAGTAATGCACATGCAATTTATCCTCTGAATAGAGGTCCATGTATTAGTAGTTATACTAACTCTCTGAGTGTGTTCCCTAAAATTCCTTTTTAGAGTCATTTTTTCATCAAGGTATATTTGAAAAATGTCTCTAGCAATTGTCCATCTAGAAGGAATTTGAAACCTAGGACAGGCTGCAGCAACAAAATTCCTAAAACCTTGTCTGTCTACAAATCTAAAAGGAAGCTCATCAATGATTAACATTTCACCTAGAGCTCTCCTAATAGCTTGTTGATCAAATACCCAAGTTCCCATGACCCCAGTCTTTCCAGATGGTTCACCTGTCTGTGGAGGTACAGACTGGAAGGTTAATAGGACTTGTCTAGTGTCTTTAGCATGGGGGTTTTTCATGCAATTAAGCATGTGATTTATGATGGAGGAAGTTCCATGTTTCTTAGAGTGACAACAGTATATTTTTGCACAATATATGCACCTCCCCTTAATAACCACACCCTTTTCATCCTTAATTTCATCAAAGTGATCCCAAATCTTAGATCTTTTGTCAACCACTTTTCTCTTTTGTCCAGAAACAGCAGGTGGTGCAGTCTGCTCATTGGTAATGTTAGGCTCAGGAATTTGACTTTCCACCACTGTTTCTTGACTCAGAGGAGGTTGAGATCCAGATGTAGAAAAGGTCACACATTCTTTAGGGTCCATCTAATGTAAGCAAGTAAGCAACACATGATATATTGATATGTGTATACTAAGCTTCCACATTGTTAATACTTAATACCTCACAGATAAGGCAAGTACGCAACACATGAATAAGAGATGTACATATGCAGTCAGTAAGAGCTTCCACAGAGTTCATATCTCACAAATAATAATCATAATATGTAAGTGTGGAACAATCAGCAAGCTGATTTACAGAACGATAAAAGCACTTTGCTTTTTCACTTCTCTACAGAATTTGAAGAACCCAGTTCACTCTTTGTACTCGTTTGAGTACTAGAGTTGAAAAAGGCTTCTTCATCAAAATAATAAGGCAGTTATGTTACTTATGTACAACAAACAACATAACAACTAACAAGTAAACAACATATGATATATTGATAGGTGTATACTAAACTTCCACATGACACATCTCATTATCTCAAAGTATACAGAGTAACAGAGGTGGACTTATAGGTGTATACAAATACAATAATACAAATACATCACAAAATGTACAGATCTGGACTCATATAAAAAGTCACAACCACATCTGACATCTCCACGGTAGTCAGTAGGCAACACATGAATATAGAATATATAGCTTGATTAGCTTCCACACTTCATTCATATTTCAAATAAACAGATTTGAAATTCTGAATGGATCATAAGAGTTGTACATATATACAAATATACTAATATACATCAACAATTAACAGGGACAACTGGATAACCGAACATTCGAACAGATCTGTACATGCAACTTTCACAAATATACGAACATCACAAGACTAATCACAACTCAGAACATCCATGCATCATCGAGGACTAAACTTACCATAATACGAATAAGTATTTTATACCTCAACGGCTCGAGACGAAGGAGATGAAAGACTTCCACTAGGTTAGAGAGTAGAGACGGTAAACCCTACAAGGAGATGAAGGCTTCCACTAGGTTGAGAACTACATGCCTACAGCCCTACAATGACGGCAACGGCGGCCGACGAAGTGACAAGTCAGACCAAATTAGGGTTAGCCGCTTAGAGAGTTAGAGAGAGAGAGTCTGAGAGTGCAACTGTGTAAGCTAGGGTTAACCGGCGAAGGGAAATAGGGATAAGGGAAAGGGAGTGGTGTTATTTTGACTAATGGGCTAATGGGCTTGGGGAGTTGGGTAATGGTCTTATAGGCTTGGGGAGTTGGGGCCTTGGGGGAACCGGGGAAGTGGGCTACTGGGCTTAGGCTTGGTCGGGTTTTCGGGCGGTTCGGGTAGGGATTAGGAGGACCCTACCCGCTGGGTGTCGGTCCAAAAAATAACGGGTTGGCGGGTCGGTTCGAGGGTTCGGGTCGGGTCAACCGACCCAATAACAAAAAATCGGGTTCACCCGATCGGGTTCTTCGGGTAGGGTCGGTTTTGCTCAGCCCTAGTTGTAGGGGGTTCACAAATCATTAATAACAAGCATTTATAACACTTCTCTCTCTAGCTCTCACTTCTCTCTAGACAATTAGTCTATCATGTGGTGCTCTCGTTGAGAGCTAGATTTCAAGTTAGCATCCTTCGTCGCCACCAAACACAACTAACTGACAATGGGAAGAACAAGGTCAAAACGTAACCTCCTCGGCAAGGCGATCCCGGAGGCCCAAGAGAACAGGGAACACGAGGAGGACGCCACGGCCGAAAAACACCTCACGAATGATCTTCGCCACCAGCTCAACAGCGGCACTCCTGACGCCCGCATCGACCTGGAGAAGAAGCACCCGGAGAAGGGCGACAATGCCTTGGGGCAACCGGTTTCTCCCGTCGTTGACCCTCATCTCCAAGCCGCGCTCTCGGCCATCATCGCCAGTCTGGCCGAGAGCCCCACCGTCCTTAGTGCACTCATGCCAAGGAATGGGGAGAACACGACGTTGCCTCCTCAGCCCCAGCCGTTGGCCATCAAGATAGGCAACGATGAAGGGGTGGTGCCCCAGGACACATCGTCATCCCACTCCCACCCTGCTTCCCCGCTTCGAGCTAGACCGACCCTAGCGCATGGAAAAGCCCTAGCCTTCAATAGGCTAGGTGACACGCGTTGTCGGCCTGTTTCGGAGAGTATGGTGGGATGGATTGGTGAATGTGAGCCTGGATAACCAAGGGAGAGCTTGGGGTCCGTATCTCGAACAGTGGATCGGCTCCGCTTGGACAAAGGCAAAGGGAAGCTGCACGAGGGAGTCACACGTCACCAAATCAACACGGCTCACGCAGCCTGCCTGCAGACACAAGGCGCCACCATGGCCGCCAGGGACCCCCAGGACGAGGTAATCGCCCAGCTAGAGCGAAGGCTCGCTCAGATGGAGGCGAAACAGCTTGCCGCCCCTCCCACAGGCAACTCATCCAGGGATCCCGGCTTTAACACCCTCTTGCACAAGGTCAGCATCCTGGAGAGGGAGTTGGTCGAAGGCCGAGGAGACCCCATCGTCCAAATCAGGACGAGGACTCCCTTCACCGCCAGGGTACTCTCGGCCCCTATTCCCGAGAAGTACCGAGGCAACGTCATCAAGCCCTATGACGGCAACGCCGATCCTCAGGAGCACTTCAACCATTATCAGAACAACATGTTGATGGTGAATGTGTCAGATGAATACCTATGTTGTTGGATCCTTTCCACTCTTGAAGGGCCAGCGTACCAGTGGTTCAACGCGCTCCCCGAAGGAAGCATAGACTCATGGCAGGATCTTGCCCAATGCTTCCTCACCCACTTTGCCGGGAGGAAGCGTGCAAAGAAGTACTTCACCCATCTCCTCTCCGTCAAGCAGCAGCATGATGAATCACTCCGGTGGACGAGGGAGACCAACGAGGTTGAGGGGGCTAATGAGCGCACCCTCCTTGTACTTTATCAGGGAGCCCTCCGCGGCACCCCATATGCGAGAAGTCTCATCACTGACCCTCCAAGGTCATACATAAAGGCGCTCCAGCGGGGGAACTTATACGTTGACGCCGACGAGCTTCGCAACCACAAGAAGGACGGGTAGCACTCCTCCAAGAAGACAAACACTGCGCAGACTCCAGGTGCACCCTTGGCCATGGACCGAGGTCAGGGGGGACAGAGCCGCCACGGGTCTAGCGGACAGAACAAGAAGGATCGCCCATGGCGGCTGAGGATGGAAAGGCCGAAGACCCCCTCACTCACTCGGCCTGCTCCATCCTCGATTATGCCGAGGAACATGATCTCATTGAACGGGATCCTCGGCTGGTGAAGGAAATCTACGCCATCCATCAGGGCTGTACCTATTGCCGTTACCACAGGAACACCTCCCACAACTTTCCCAATTTGTTAAAGGTGGCCCACACAAAAATACGTGGGTAAACACCAGCAAAAATGGGGGCGAACCCTCTACGAAAAAGCGTGAGATCGGCAGACTCAGTGATGACGACGAGGAGTTCGAGGAGCCCCCTCCGAAGAAGAACCACATCCATCTCATCGTGGGGGGCAACACTGGGGGGATACCGCCACCCAGAGAAAGAAGTGGGCTCAGTCCCTATACATTGGCGAAGTATCCCATATTCCCCCTTAGTCGAAGAGGCAACGGACGGAGGCGGTCACCTTCACCGAAAAGGATCTGCCTCCGGGTTCCGCATCACACAGGGACGCCCTCGTCATCTGATGTGAGATAGGTAACTCTATCATCCACCACAGTTACATCGATACGGGGAGCTCTGTCAATGTCATGTACCATGACACCTTCAAGCAGCTAAGGCTGAACAAGGCCCTGCTCAAGCCGATACAGACATCGTTGTCTGGCTTCACCGGGGACTCTATCGACGCCGAGGGCACAATAGTCCTCCCCGTGGAGGTCGACGACGGCTCCTATCGTGCCAAAATTGACATGGAATTCATGGTGGTCAACCTCGAGTGTGCCCACAACCTGATATGGGGGCGACCAGCACTAGAGGACCTGGAGGCCATCATCTCCATGGAGCACTTGTGCTTGAAGTTCCCTACCAGCGGTGGCATCGGCTACGCCAGGAGGAACCGGAGGATAGCCAGAGCATGCTACCTCAAGCTGACAAAGCCGGCCATAGGCACCGAGCAAAGGATAGACACTATCACCGCCACTGTCGCCAAGGACGAAGAGAGGCCACATGCTGAGCTAGTCAAAGAGGTTGAGGAGGTCCGTTTGGACACCTCTCGGCCGGAATGAGTCCTAAAAATTGGGAGGCAACTCCCACAGGACCAACATGATGACATACTCAAAGTCCTGCAGTCATATGCAATCATCTTTGTGTGGGGGCCAGACAACATGCCTGGCATCAGCCGCAAGGTGATCACCCACCGGTTGTTAGTCGATCCCGCCTCCACGCCAGTCAAGCAGAAGCGGCGCTACCTTTCGGTCGACAGACGAGACTTCGTCAAGGGGGAGATCACCATGCTCCTCTCAATCAAGAACATCAAGGAGGTGAAGTACCCGACCTGGCTGGCCAACGTCGTCCTCGCCCAGAAGCCACCGACGTTCAGAATGTGCGTTGATTACACTGATCTGAACAAAGCGTGCCCCATGGACCCGTTCCCTCTCCCCAACACAGATTAGTTGGTGGACGAGACGGCGGGCTGCGAGTTGATGTCATTCTTGGACGCCTTCAGGCGATACCACCAGATCTTCATGCATGAAGATGATGCCGAGAAGACGGTCTTCATGACCCCGGAGAGAATTTTCGGCTACCTCGTCATGGCTTCTGGGCTCAAAAATTCAGGCGCCACATACACCAGGATGGTAGCCAAAATCTTCAGAGCAGTCCTCACCCAGACGATGGAGGCATACGTCAATGATATGATCATCAAGAGCAAGCAATCTACCACTCATGCTGACGACATCCGGAAATTTTTTGAAATCATGAAGAAGTTCCAGCTCCGCCTGAACCCCAAGAAGTGCACCTTCGGCATCCAGGGAGGCAAGTTCCTCGGCTACATGGTCAGCCGAAGGGGCATTGAAATAAACCCGGAGAAGATCCAGGACATTGTTGACATGGAGGCATCACGAAATGTGAAGGAGGTACAACGGCTGACGGGACGCCTTGCGGCCCTGAACCGTTTCCTCTCCAAATCGGCTGAAAGGTCTCTCCCTTTCTTCCAAATCATGCGCAAGGCGAACAACTTCAAGTGGACGATGGAGTGTCAGCAAGCATTCGAAGAGCTGAAGCAGTACCTTTCGTCCCCTAATGTGCTTTCCAAGCCAAAAGCCGGTGAAACCCTATTCTTGTACTTAGGGGTGAGCACGTCGACCATCAGTCCCATGCTCATCCGCGAGCATGAAGGGGTGTAGAGGGCAATTTTCTACGTCAGCAAGACACTGTGGGAGGCCAAGCTCAGGTACTCCCCCATTGAGAAGACGGTTCTAGCCATCGTCCACACGGTGAAGAAGCTAGGGCACTACTTTCAGGCCCATGTCGTCCATGTGTTGACTCATCAGCCCCTTGGCGCACTCATGCGGAGCCCCACTAACTCCTCCAAGATGGTGAAGTGGGCAATCTTCCTTAGCCAGTTCCAGATTGAAATCAAGCCAAGGTCATCTATCAAGGGGCATGCCTTGGCCGACTTTGTCACCGAGTGCACGGCAAGGGAAATGGCCGCTACCATACTCGGGCCAGAGCCAGAAGAAACACAGACCCTCTTCACTGATGGTTCATCAGCGGCTAAAGCATGTGGGAGTGGTGTCGTCCTCATCTCCCCTGAAGGTTTCAGAGCTTACTATTCCATCCGCTTCAACTTTAGGGTATCCAACAACGAGGCCGAGTATGAGGCTCTCTTCAGCGGCCTCAGACTCACCGTCGACCTCAAAGCGTGGCATGTCAGAATCAAGTGCGACTCCAAGCTGGTCGTGGTCCAGATCGAAGGCTCATACGAGGCCAAGGAAGGAAGGATGAGGCAGTACAAACAGGCGGCTGAGGAGTTTCTCAAGGCATTTGAAACCCATGAGATCACACAGACCCCAAGGGTGGAGAATGCTGAGGCCGACATCCTCTCCAAACTCAGCACGGACACTCCAGAGAACATCTCCAAGATAGCCAAGATCGAGGAGCTCAGTATGTCCAACATCCATGTCAGCCCGATTATGTGCATTCAACATCGACCAGAGGATTGGATCACCGATATCATGACCTTCATCACTTCTGGAGAGCTACCCCAGGACGAGGAGAGGGCCAAGATAGCCAAACTCAGGGCCCCAAGTTACACCATTGAAGATGGGAAACTCTATAAGAGATCCTAGAATGGCACTCTCCTTCGATGCCTACACCAGGATGAGGCCGAAGTGGCCATGGATGAAGTCCACTGCAGCGTCTGTTCCTCACACCAGGGTCCTTTCAGCATGTCCCGCTGCCTCGTCGTCCAAGGCTATTTCTGACCGACGATGGCACGGGATTGTGCAAATCTTGCAAGGAAGTGTACCGCGTGCCAGCTACTTCAGAAGGCCCCTGGTCGGCCGGTCGTCAACTATGCCCCGGTCAGCACTGCAATCCCATTATCAAGATGGGGGATTGACCTAATCGGCCCCTACCGAGAGCCGCCAGCGTCAACCGCTACATCATCGTCGCAGTCGACTACTTCACCAAGTGGGTCGAAGCGGAACCCTTGGCCAGCATTACAGGGGCCAGGTGCCAGAAGTTCGTCCACAAGAACATCCTCACCCGTTTCGGCGTTCCCCAGGAGATCATATCCGATAGCGGCACCCAGTTTGAGGCCGCACCCTTCCAAGAGCTCCTCCAGTAATGTGGAATCAAACATCGTTTCTCCTCCGTAGCCTACCCTCAAGGTAACGGGCAAGTTGAGAACGCCAACAGAACCATTCTGGAGGGCCTAAAAAGAAACTCCAAGACGCAGGAGGCAGCTCGGCCGATGAGCTCCCCAACATTCTGTGGTGCTACCGTACTACGCCGAGAAGGGCGACGGGCGAAACACCCTTTGCCCTATGCTACGACTTCGAGAAAAAGGCACCCACAGAGGTCACCATTCCCAGCCGACGGGTGGAGCAATATGAGCCTGAGGTCAACGAAGAGAACATGAAGATCGACCTCCACATGATCGAAGAAAGACGAGAAACTTCTGAATGGCAGCATGAGTGGCCTTCTCAGCAGCCTTTTCGGCCTCAGCTCTGGCCTTTTCGGCCTCATTAGCACGACGACGATCAGCCTCACGCGCCTCTTTCTCTCCGGCAAACTTGGCCAGGGCATCGTCCCTGTGTGCAGCCACTTGGCGGTAGGCCGCATCGGCCTCATCAGCCCTCTTCTTCAGGGCCTCCAACTCGCCCCGAAGCCTATCAAGGCAACTCATGGCCTCCTCGTCCAAGGCAGCCTTCTGCTCAACTTCTTTCAGCCGAGCGATCTCTTGCTGCTGCCTCTGGTGACTCTCCATCAGCATGAAGGTACCCTACAAAACGGAATGGTTAGGACGATGACGACATCTACAAAAAAAGAAGAAGAAAGTAATAGGGTATGCAAAGGATCTTACTTAGACGAGGAGATCCATTCCACCGTCATAGATTCTGACGTTGCCAAGCCTATCAAGATAAGCCCGGTCCTCGGCCGGGACGGTTTGTGAGATCACATCGTGTGTAACACCGCCCCGGAGTATTTGTACTGTACCAAACTATGTATTGAACCCTGGGAAATGAATAAAAGCATTTTTACATAATTGTAAATTTTTATCATTTCTTTTACGTGAATAGTAAAATTCACGTGGCGCCCACGCTGGATGTGGGGCCGCCCGATATTATCAGGACCACATATTATATTAATCTTGGACTAGATAATATTTATATGGTGGTGGATATCCTAATTGGGCCATGGCAATGGCATAGAGTTGACTAGTTGGTCAAACGGGGCCAAATTATCGGTATCGGCAATTTATCGGATAACAGCCCAAAAAGGGATTCTGGAAACTTCTAAATTAAAGTTGGGGATTGCATATTGATTCTAAGGTCCAATGAGGATTGGGAACAAGTGTTATATTTTATTTGACCCGATAAAATAAAATATACTTAAAACAGTCCGGAAAATACAACTTTCGGGACCGATTGTACACGTCGGGATTTAAAGGGATGACCTCCCACATGAGTGGGGGCCACCCCACGAAATTATTTTAGACAAGGCATGGGCTTGGGCGTCCAAAGGGAAGAGTTGTTGAAGGGAAGGGGCTGACTTGAAGGTTTTGGACATCAAAAGGACAAGGTAGGGCCATATTTTTGCTATCATTGAGGTATAAGCCAAAATAGAGCCATATCCTTCCCCCCTTAGCCCATATGCCCGACCAACCTAATTAATCTTGAGAGAGAAGCTCTGAAAATCTTCATTTCCCCCATTGCCATTCGAACCAAGCTCAAGAAGGAAGAAAAGGAAGTCTAAGGAGGATTAAAGAAAGGAAAAGCTAAGGGAAGTGTGAAGAATCAAGGTAATAATCTTGTAACAACTTTTCCTTAACTTATTATATACCATATGACCAATATATCACATGAAGGACTCCTATTATTGTTCTACACTTTTGGATGTGTAGAAAGAAGGGTTGGAAGGTGGTTCTAAGTCCAAGAACGGACTTAGAAGCCAAAGTAACCGGTTCGCCGGAAAATAACCTTTTTGAGGTTATTTGTATTACTATGGGTTTTATGATGATAGAAACTTGTTAGTAACTTGTCTAAGGTATTCAAGGAACTTTCACGGAGCTGAAAGGGTCGCCAGTGTTGTCGCCGGAGTTCGTTGAAGTTCGCCGGAGTTTCCCCGAAGCTAAATCGGGAAGGCTAGAACTTCATAAGCTTCATTAAGGTGAGAAGACGGCTATATGCTTGATGGAGTATAAGGGTCTGAGCCCCCGGACCCACATACTCGGAAGAACAGAAAGCACAAGACACAGAGTGGCACCCTCGTCGGCCAAGGGACCCCCGTCGGTCGAAAAGGTGCCAACTCAGATTATGGTCCTGAAGCCAAGGAACCCGGGTGCCCTCGTCGGCCGCGCCCTCGTCGGCCGTGCCCTCGTCGGCCACGCCATCGTCGGCCACGAAGACTCCACAAAACCGGATTCTACACTTACTCATTTGTACAGCCCATTAGTGGCTTTGTATTCGGCCCAGTAGCGGTCCAGTTGTAAATGGGCCTCCCAAGCCCAAGGCTTGGGAGCCCAGCCCGTATTTTCTCTATAAATACTCCCCTTGGGAGTAGTTATAGGGGTTACAAATTCATTCTATTGAAGCATATTATTGCACTTCTCTCTCTAGCTCTCACTTCTCTCTAGATATACTCTATCAATGCTTTATAAATTTTGTGTGAGGCATGAGATTACCTAAAGTAATCAAGGATATTTTTTGTGGAATGATAAAAGATAACCAAGTGTTTGCTTATGCCATGATTATACATAAAACATAGTTGAAAAGCATGTTATGTAGGTTTGGTGATTAAAAATGTGATAATATATTTTGTGTGATGATTCAGGGATCCAGGACACGGCATCGTCCCACTCCCACCCTGCTTCCCCTCTTCGGCCTGGGCAGACCCCAGCGCGTGGAAAAGCCTCTGCCTTCAACAGGCTAGGTGACACGCGCCGTCGTCCGGTTTCGGAGAGGATGGCGGGACGGATTGGTGAGCCTCGTCCTGGCTCGCCGAGGGAAAGCTTGGGGTCTGTGTCCCGGACAGCGGACCAGCCCCGCCCGGACAAGGGCAAGGGGAAGTTGCACGAAGACGACGTGCGCCACCGGATCAATGCGGCTCACGACGAGCGCATGAGGAACCAGCCGGGCGCCGCTGCGGCCGCCAGGGACCCCCGGGATGAAGTCATCGCCCAGCTGGAAAGGAGGCTGGTTCAGATGGAGGCCAAGCAGTCGGCCAACATCCCTACGGCCGCCGCCTCCAACGACCCCGGCCTCAACGCGCTCATGAACAAGGTTAGCGCCCTGGAGAGGGAGCTGGCCGAGGGGCGGGGTGACCCCATCATCCAGGTCAGGACCAGGACCCCTTTCACCAACAGGGTCCTCTCGACCCCCATCCCGGAGAAGTACAGGGGAAACGCCATCAAGTCCTATGACGGCCGATCAGACCCCCAGGAGCACTTCAGCCGCTATCAGAACAACATGCTGATGGTGAACGCGTCCGACGAATACCTCTGCCGTTGGTTCCTCTCTACTCTCGAGGGGCCAGCGTACGAGTGGTTCAACGCGCTCCCCGAAGGGAGCATCGACTCGTGGCAGGATCTCGCCCAACGCTTCCTCACTCACTTTGCCGAGAGGAAGCGTGCGAAGAAGTATTTCACCCACCTCCTCTCCGTCAAGCAGCAGCACGAGGAGGCCCTCCGGTCATTCATTGATCGGTGGACGAGGGAGACCGAAGAAGTCGAGGGGGCCGATGAGCGCACCCTCCTCGCCTTGTATCAGGGAGCCCTCCGCAGCTCCCCGTACGCTAGAAGCCTTATCACCGACCCTCCGAGGTCGTACGCCAAGGCGCTCCAGCGCGGAGGCTTGTACGCCGACGCCGACGAGCTCCACAATCACAAGAAAGAGGGGGGCCATCCCTCCAAGAAGACAAATCCTTCGCCGGCCCCGGGTCTGTCCCCGGCCGGCCAGGGTGCCCAGGGCCGTCACGGCTCTGGTGGACAGAGTAAGAAAGATCGCCACTGGCGGCCGAGCTTGGAACGGCCGGGGGTTACCCTCACTCACCCGGTCGGCATCATCCTCGACTATGCCGAGAAGCATGGCCTCATCGAGCAGGCCCCTCGGCCGGCCGAGGAGGTCCTCGCCATCCAGCAGGGCGGCACATACTGCCGGTTTCACAAGAACTCGTCGCACAACACCGATGATTGCATCACGCTGAAGAAGGCCATCGAGCGTCTCATTCGCCAGGGGGAACTATCCCAGTTTGTTAAAGGTGGCCCACGCAAAAACACATGGGTAAACACCGGCAAACATGGGGGCGAACCCTCTGCGAAGAAGCGGGAGATTGGTAGGCTCAGCGACGACGAGGACTTCGAAGAACCCCCACCAAAGAAGAACCACATTCACCTCATCGTAGGTGGGAACACTGGGGGGACTCCGCCACTCAGAGAAAGAAATGGGCCCAATCCCTCTACATTGGGGAGGTGTCCCACGTTCCCCCCAGCCGAAGAAGCAGCGAGCGGAGGCGATCACCTTCGCCGACGGGGTATTCCACCATCTTCTGGTAGGTGGCACCGGCAATCTCCTTGCCGGCCCTCTTCGTCCGTGGCTCCTGGACGAGAGGAAGCGATTGGGCAGCATCGCTAGGAGCAGCAGTGAGGTCCACAACATGACCACTATCGTCCACACTGGGGACGGTAAGAGTGCCGGCCTCAGTAGCCTGGGAAGGAGACGGTGCCCTCTTCGTCTTCTTGGCGACGTTCAGGCCGGCCTCAGTCAATTTCTTCTGGCCGTCAGTGGGAGGCCTCTTCTTTTTGGACTGAGCAGGCTTTGGGGCCGCACCAGCAGTAGCCCCGCCTCCCTCGGCCGCGGCACGTCTGGCCGCTTCGGCCGCCTTTGCAGCCAACTCCTCGGCCGCCTTGGCCTTGGCTATAGCCATGATGGAACGACGATCCATGACAAAATCTACACAAAGGAAAAACAACAGATTAGCAAGGCAAAAGAACAAATCATAAAGGAAGAAAGCCGAAGAAATAATTACCATCGGCCTCAGCAGGAATGCCCAAATCCGGGCCGTCGGCCTCTTCGAAGGTGGTGGTCATCCTCGGCCAGAGTTGGAGATCGTCCTCCTTATCACCATACACATGGTATCTTAAGAAGCCGAGGGCGGTCATCTTGTATTCAGTGATATAATCCTTCACGCTCCTCGGCCCCCCTTCCAAGAAAGCCTCCACCTGAGCGTCCAAGATAGAACTCTTCGGCGGGTCATGCAGATTGAACCTCCCGGTATGACCGAGAGAGGGAAACTCGGTGCCACTCTCACCAAGGGATACAAAAACGAACTTGCTCTTCCACCCATGAATGGACGAAGGCAAGTCCGTGAAGCTCCTCTTCTTCGGCAGCTGTTGAAGAGTAGCATAGGCCGCACAGTTTTTGTGGCTTCCTCGGCCTATCTGATACAGATTCATGAACAGGGCCGTCGTCGGCCTGTATCCCAGCTCCTCACAGCGGAGCAAAAACCCCACCATCAATGAATAGCTGTTCGGCGTCAGCAAAGCCGGAGGGAGCCCCACCATTTCAAGGTATTCAGTGATGAAGGGATGAAGGGGAAACCTCAACCCCTTTGCGAAACTCATCGGGTATACTCCAAAGTATCCCGGTGGTGGATGAAGAACATGGTCCGTCGGCCTGGGTGCCCTAACCCGCCCGAACGGCCCCACGTACATCTGGGCAACCAAGTAGTCGGCCGCACTGCTCTCCGGCTTGATCAGGAAGATGTTTGTGAGATCCAGGTAGGAGACGCCCGGCCCACTCTTCGGCCTCCTTATTCTCTTCGGCTTATCTGCTCCCTTCACGGCAGACACCGGTCTCGGGCATGGAATAACAGCGGAAGTGGACGCCCCGTCCACCACTCGGGACGCACCTGCATCCTCACCTTTTGAAGACGAGGCGGACTCCTCGTCCTCGACTTCGTCGTCCACCGGCTCTTCGGACTTGTAAGGACTTAAGTGTTGTATCTCCTCCTCGAACTCC